AGTTAAATGGTCAGATTCTTAGCTACGCAGCCACACCACAGCAGCAAGAGGAAACTAAATTGTACCTGCCAGGAAGCCAATTTAAACAATTTTTCTTCCTTCCATGGGTCTTGAACAGCATTCATTTCAGGATATGCTGAGTGCCCGTTAAAGTGACTTCAAATTAATCATCTACAGAATTCCTTCCACTAACAGTATTTCCTGTCCCCTCTTGATAAAAAATACTATAAATTCCACTTTGGAAAGCAACAATAAATATCTCCCTTGTGTAAAGGAATAAAGTGCATAACTGAATGTTCAAGTACATAAAACTGGTTCAAAATACGATCATGTATCAACACATACTCATTTAAATGTAGCACGTATAGCACAGGGAAATACCAAATACATGCTTGTACTTCAGGAGATAACATTTAAATTCCACAAAGCATTTTCAGAGCACAACCAGCTACTTCTGAGCAGAAAATAACACCTGGGACAGTGGCAACGTACCTGGCCCTTTGATATGAGGTAAGCTACAATGGGCACGTGTTGAAACAGCACTGCCAAATGAATGCTGCTGAATCCTTCCCCATCAATAAGGCTGGGATCTGCTCCACACTTCAACAATAAGGTGACCATGGGTAGGTGTCCTTGTCTGTAACGATATATGAGACTACAGCCATAACAGAAAGCTTGAAATCTTAATGAAAGCGTCACCTTCACAATTCTTAGATACTCTTTTAGAAAAATAATCTCTGGTTCTTATACTTTCATGAAGAAACGTTTTTATTTTTTTCTTTAAGCCAAAGTCTGTATCAGAGAACTAGGTAGGACCCAAGAATCCAAGTCTGACCAGCACTGCCCTGGGAAAAGTTCAAAATGCAGGTCTGCTTGAAGCACAGATGCATGCATAACACAACCTGGCGGCCTGCAAAGTTTCCAAGAATCAGAGAACAGATTTCAGTGTAATTATGGACATGCTGTCAAGTTCTGTGTAACTCAGCAAAGGAAACACACACCATCAATTCATTTAAGATGACAACAACAGTTACACAAAACACTACTGTTAAGACCAGCAGATTTATTATGGGAAATGGCAAGCAGCACACCTGATGGCCCAGTGAAGGGGAGTTGAATTCAAGTCTCCACCTAGCTGATCCACTACTGCACCTTTGGAAATATAGTACCTGCACAACAGCAACAGAACAAGAATAAGGGAACACATAATAAAGCATGAAAACATTGTGCTGAGGATAACATAGGTGTAATAGCAAGTGGCTTGCAATAAACAAGTTTTCTCTAGAAAAGCAAATGGATGACAATATTTTTGCAGAACAGGATGCTGCTTTGAGAAAACGTGTAAGAAAATGCGCAGTAAGTAGCAAGGCCTTACAAAGTCAGTTGTAATCTTTGTCAAATGAAACAAATCCAAGAACACCTAATGATTTAATGTACCACTTAATTTCACACAGAAAGGAAGTGTGGTAACCACACGTCACTGACATTTTCACAAAGGTGGCTGTGTTAAAATTCAAATTTTAAGCTTTTTCCCTCAAGCACCACACACCGTGGCTGGCAGCACTCACGATCGATAGCGACAGAATGCTCAAGATCCTTTCCCATGGGCTACAGAGCTTACTTAACCAGCTCCTGTCTGTTGCTTATTGCTGCCCAGTGCAGAAGAGTCACATTTTCTTTGTCTGCTTGTTGAACATCGTATCCTGCTTCCACCAGTTCTTTGCACCGCTCTAGCATTCCATACCTTAAATGAGGAAAAGAACTGACTTTATTTCAAATATCTCCCAATTTAAACAGCATCACACAAATGAAAAATTCAATCTCCGTAAGTCTTGCTCAAGAGCTCCGCTTTGCATTCAACGGAGTTTTTGCAAAAAAAGGCTGGTCTGAGCCTCGATACGTAGAATTTTCTACCTAGCAACGTTGTTATTGCTGATGATGACAATATTTATAATAGTATATACACTTCAAGTGCTTTCCCTTGGACAAGCAGGTGGCAACAGAACCCTATCATTTTCAATTTAAAAAATCCCACATGGAATAGAAACTTTGCCCAGGTGAGACAAACACTTACTGAGTAGCCTTCACAATATCACACGTGCCAGGGTCTTCATCGATCGGCTGCAGTGCCGGCAGCACCGGCACATCCTTCTCTCTGCAGATGCTACGGCAGCTGCGCACGTCAGGTCGGTGAGGCCCACGGCAATGGTTTTTACACTGCTGAGTGACAAAACAGCCATCAGCAAACATCGTGCCAACGCTGGACATCACAGCGCCCTCTTCACAAGGCACCCTTCTTGCCACGTGCATCCGTGGACACGCGGCACCGAGGGGCACCGGGCGCGGTACGGGCAGGTCGGGGATCTCAGGTCTTCTCCAACCCGAACGAGTCCAGTGTAAGCACGGAAGTGGGTTTCAAACGCAAGCGAAACTTGGAGCTTCCACTCCGAGCGGAAACGTGGGAGGACAGAAATGACACCGTTACGTTCTATGAGACGGAACTACGCGGGGATTTAGTGACCCCGTGCAAAACCAGCTGCCAGCGGCACACCCTTCCCACAGCAGCGACGGCACGCTACAGACCACCACCCGTACCCGCACGCTCCGAGCCGCAGCACCGGGAAGCCGCCCGGCAGCAGCAGAGCACGCCCCGCACGCAGCCGCGCACCGCAGGGTCCCCCCAGGCCTGACATGAACCAGGGTTTCCAGAGCGAGTCCAGAACCCGGGGAGACCTTTCGGCATCAGCCGTCCGTCCCACGGCGAATGCCGGCCGCGAGCCGCGAGCCGCCGGGCCGCGAGCCGCCGGGCCGCCGGGCCGCCCCCGGCAATGCCGCCGGCCGAGCTCCGCTGCTTCCTGCTTCCTGGTTACCGGCACGCGGGGCGGGGCCGCGATTTACCGAGAGAACCGCGAAGGTGGCAAAACGCGGCTGCTTCAGCTGGGGTAGTGCGTGCAGACCTGGGGCCCCTAACACGGGAAAGACAAGGAGCTGGGGCAGCGGGTCCGGAGAAGGACTGCGAGAATGCTCAGAGGGATGGAGCACCTCTCCTGTGAAGAAAGGCTGAGGAAACTGGGCTTGCTTAGCTTGGAGAAGAGCAGGCTGCTGGGAGACCTCATTGTGGCCTTCCAGTGCTTGGAAGTTGCTGTTCAGACATCTGGACTGTGAAAACCTGATGCAAGCAGAAAATACTTCTTTCACTAGAATATGGTGAATGAGTTGGTAAAGAGAAAATAGCTCTGAACAGAGGTACTGAAAGCTGTATGCACTGCTACTGCTTGCTTTCCCAGCACGGAAAGGACAGGCATGGGTACTGCTGGGCTGCAAGTTCGGCTAGCCATCCAGATGCTGCAGAATGAATGCAAAATCAAACTCTAGCTGACATGTTAATACAGATTTTCCTTCCGTATGCACAGCTGCTACATAAATAGACATCAAAGCAGCTCCACTTCATAAATATGTAGAGCTTTAACTTAGCCTGGTGTCACAAAATATTTTCTATGCTTTGGATGTAGAGCTCACGTTAGGGAAGCTGAGGAAGAAACAAAACGGCACAAAAATTTGGTAGGCATTTTGCTACCTTGATATATAATGGATACCAGAATGTGGATGCACAAAAATATAACTGAAGAAGAGTTTGTTCTCCAGTTTAAGAACCTGGCGTACAAGTTCTCATTTGTTAAAGTAAAAGTTAGTTGAGCAGAGATTCTCTGCATACGGCTGTTGGTAGCAGTGCTTACAGCAGTACACTGGCACTTTTCAATTTGATATCTTTTAATGTTTGTTGCCTGGGGGCCTCACCTCCAGCATCGTTTTTGCTAATCTATAAGAAGCTTTCTGGAAGGAGGAAGAAATGCTTTCCTTCTACTGCACATACAGCTGGCTTTACAGAAGAAACCATGTTTGAATTTGCAGAATTCTATTCTAATTCAGCAGCAGGTTTTGCCTAGTGTTTTGCAACATACATCATTCAGTTGAGATTACAATTAGCTCAGCAGTGCAGGAGAGAAGAGAAGGTGAGTTCTGGCTCATCATAAATACGCATGAAGAGTGCCCATATCAATGGGAGTGCAGACAGGGCTAGGCTCTGGGGGTTTTATTCTCATTACATTACCTGTTCATACAATGTGTATGGGAACTGCTGAGTCACAGCCTGAACCTCTGATTGATCACCTGAGGCGAGCAGTGAGTCATCCAGAGGAGCCCAGGTGAAGGCAATTCACCTGTACTGCCTGGCTCTACCTCTCGTAGACCTATTGAAGAGCTGGCTACCAGCATGAAATGAACCATTGAGGCTAGGCATTGTTATAAGAGTTTACAAATTTCTCTGTCATTTTACCTTTGTATTTTGAGGTCAGACGCTTCAGAAGGAATACTTTGGACTTTGATTCAGTACAACACAGGTTGGGTGCTGAGTTTTTTATGGTGTCAGTGACATGTCTGCGTTAACTCAGTATTCAGTATCTCTAAATTGTAGCCTGCAGAAAGGGGCAGCTAACTAGCCTGACTACCTAGGGTCCAAATTATGAACGTACGGAGCCAGCTACCAGTGGGGAAGGCTCTCTTCTGGAGCCTCTCTACCTTCACTATTTTTGGATCCTGTCCAAACAGGACAGCTTTTTGTCTTATATTGTGGCTCCCACAGCCATGCTTGAGGTGAGGCTGCACTAATGCTGAGCAGAGAGGAACCATCCCTCACCTGGATAGCAGTGTTTGTGGAGAAGAAATGCACTTAATGCTTCACAGTGCCTAACTCAACTGAAATGCCTGCGGAGGCCATATCTCCAGGCATAACTAAACTTGTCCCAAGTTGCTGCATCTCACGCCGGCATCCAAATTGGCTCCTGGATGGTTCAGGAACATCAGTGCAAGGAAAGACAATTCATCTTTGTATTTCCCCTCTGGTGTCGTTATAGCTTCAGAGAACCACAGAATTCAGTTCTTGGAATGTATTTCTCTCTGTTCAGGCTAACTTCACACACTAGAAGTGCCATATATCATGAAATGAATATTCCTTAACATCACACCTGTTTTCACTTCTGACACAATTTGAGGTATTATTTTCATTTTAAAGCTTCAGGTTGACAGTATGCTGTAACAAGTAGAAAAAGCAGAAACCCTCCTCTCTACAAGAGTGGCAGGTGTTTTTCTGGTCCCAGTTCCCTACTCTGTCCCAGGGAAATCTCAGTGGAGATGCTCTCACTCGTGAGTCCAACTATATGTTCAGTGCAAGATGAGTGAAGTCAGTCTCTCCCCTTGGCACATCTTCACTGTGGAGAGAACTGGAGGCACTCAGATCTTAAACAAGAAGCTCAGTGTAGCATCACAGAGGAGGGGCGAGCACATCCACAAAAGCAACTTCTCTGTACATAGAGATGAGTTGTGGAGATCTCTGCCTTAAGATACAGAGCAAGGCAAGGAAAGGAAGAGAATAGATTTACATGGATTTTGTATTAACGTGTTTCTGCTGTAATGTCATTGCACTCAATGCCAGAAAATCAGCGCTAGAGGCATGTTGAGGGTACAATCCTGCCTCATGGTTTGACTCAGCTCACAGAGCAAACATTTGGAACAGGACATGTAGGTGTCTATATGTCACCAGGATGTATACGATCTCAGTGTACTCATGGATACTCATGGCTGTTGCCATGAGTTGTCTCAGTATCAAAGTGGCTTTGATTGTATTGACTGTATCTGGACAGAAAAATATAAATGTGCATTTGAGGTTATTTCCACCTCATCATCTTTTTTGTCCAAGAGAAAGGGATTTTTAAGGGCAGGTTGGGACTGGTTCCCTTCCTCCAGTAGGAGGTTATTAGAGCAATAAATATAAATTGTAGGTGACTACCAAATGAGATGATTGTTATATCCTGACATTCCTTGCCCTGAACACAATTGAAGAGAAGCATGAGGTCTATTAAGTCTTTGTGAAATCAGAATAACTATAAATTTCTATTTTATCCATCATTTCTGCTTTCCGAGTTTCTCCTATTACCTACCAGGGCACCTACTTCATTCTGTACTGGACCCACGTTATTACCAGTCTTTTGTTTTTCCATAGACTTTCTTGTGATCCTCGACCTCCTTTATCAGATCCATTTACAGATGGGTCTCAGCCTTCACAGAATTATAGAATCATAGAATTGCAGAGAGAATTCTGCACCTGCAGAGGTGCAGAATTGGAAGGCACCTAATGAGGTCATCAACTCCAAACCCCTGCAGTGACCCCACAATAGGTCACACAGGTAGGCATCCAGATGAGTCTGGATATGAGATATACAATATCTCTGTAGAAGGATACTCCACAACCTCTCTGGTCAACCTGTTCCTGTACTCCATTATCCTAAAGAAGTACAGGAGTACTTCTGTGTGTTTGTATGGAACTTCCTATGTTCAAGTTTTAGGCCATTGCTCCTTGTCCACTCACTATACACTACTGAGAAGAGCCTGGCCTCATCCCTTTGCCTCCCGCTTCCTTTTAGATATTTATAAACATTTATCATATTTCTCCCTCCTCCCCCTCCTGCCCCCACTTCTTCGCCCTCCCGCCCCCTCACCCCCCAGCCTTCTTTTCTCCAGGCTGAACAGACCCAGGTTACTCTGCCTTTTCTCATAAGGAGATGCTTCAGGTCCTTTATCATCTTTGTGTCCTTCAAATGGACATCTTCTAGGAGATCCCTGTCTTTTTTGAACTGGGGAGCCCAGAACTGGATGCAGTAGTCTAAATGTGTCCTCCCCACAGCAGAGTAGAGGAGGATGATAGCCTCCCTTGACCTGCTGGCTGCACATGTTTTAATGCATCCCAGGATGGTCAAGGGTACACCGCTGGCTCATGGCTAACCTGATGCCCACCAGGACCCCCAGGGATCCTTCCTACAGGGAAAGACCTGCACAGCTTCCAACAGGTCATTCCCTAACCTGTACTGATGCACACAGTTCTCTCTCCCCAAATGCAGCACTCTCCACACACTCTTGTTATATAAACCTCCATGTCCAACTCTCCAGTCAGTCCAAGTTTAGTACAGTTTAGTACAACTGTAGTATAGCCTGCCAATGTGTCAGCCCCTCCTCCCCAGATTTCCATCATCAGCAAACTTGCTGAGGGTGGACTCTGTCCCTTCATCCAGGTCACTGATGAAGATATTGAGCAAGACCAGACCTGGCGCTGACCCCTGGGGAACATTGGTAGGCCTCCAACTAGACAACTGCACACTCCTTTTTACTTCCTCCTTACAAGTATATTCTTCTTAGGTGTCTGCTGTTTTTCCACTGCTACTTCCAATATGCTGCTCAGCTTTTTAATGGTGTCAAAGAGAGTGTTGTACATTGGATGCCTTATACAGTTTGGCTTCTTTGCACTTTTTGCCACCACTGAGATGTTTTTCCTGGCTGCGATGGCATATGACTTCTAGATGGCCATTTGTAACTCACTGCTCTACACGTGCAAGAAATGTTCCACAAATGGCTGGATTCCTGAATCTTTTACATCAGTGTGTAAAAGTCATGTTGTGAAGATTGCTGATTGAAGGGTGTGTCATTGGGAAAGACACACAAATAAATCCTCTTACTCAGGCCTTAGTGAGGCTCTTCAT